GATATAAGTTACAGATAAGTTATATATTTAGACAAATCAAGTCTGCTTATATTGAACATTATTGGTGTAGATTTCATATATAACACATTATAGAAAGATATGATACATGTTACAAAGGTGTTGATCATTTATATTTGATTAGACAAGGTTGATTTTATTTGGCTGGGACCGAGTGTTTTTGGAAAGATATTGTAAGAGTGTATTTATATCGTTCGTACCATTCTCTTTTTTCAGAGACTGGTACTCTTCTTTGCTTTACAATAAAGCTTGATTATAATTACGAGTATCGTAAATGGCACGTGTTTATGTTTCTTTATTTCAGTGTACCATGTGGCGATGGCAATAACGCACTGGGGTTTTATAACCATTGAGCCTGAACGTGATTGTACATGCTTTAGGAGCACGTTTGAACGCACTAAGAACGAAATGAGGACGAGCTGAACTGTCTCTGAACTAGTAAGAATGGGTTTAGTCGTATTCGGAATGAGGTAGAACTAGTTTTTTTTAAGGGTTTAGATTGACTACGGACTGCCCTTGGGCTTCCTGGAAATGGTAAATTTACTGGATCTGATGTTGCTATAAACTGACTGTGGACGGGGTACAGACGAGATGAACGTATCGAGGACTGTTAATGAACGAACTAGTATCGTATTATTGAAATTATTTACACATTGTACCCCGACCATTTCCTGTTTTGCAATTTTCTAGAACAGTTCCAGATCTTAGTGAGAACTAGTTTGGTGTGATGTGGGCTTTATATGACAAACATGGGAGAACACGGTCATAATAAAAAAGAGTAGTCCATGCCAAAAAAGACGTGAGAGATCGGGGGTACAGAAAACAATACAAAATGATGAGCTGAATGTGGGTTTGAGAAGAAGATGAGGAAAGAGAAATGCGCATTATCAAGGACATAAGCAAGAGAAGGCACAAAATGAGGATGAGGTATAATCTCGGTGGTGTTAATACGCGCCCGAAATTGAGGGGTTGATAGAAGGGCCGGTATGAACACCACCTTGGGAATGATGATTACCACCATCATCCTCATGACCGGTCATTAGTAAAATCATGTTATAAAAAATCATGTTATAAACAAAATAATACACAGAATTTTGTTAGAGCATAATTAGTGAAATTACCCACACTAAATACCTTCGAAACCGTCCAAACACCCTCGGCTGTCGCCTTGAGCGTGTAAAACTGTTCCAAAGGTACCTTTGTGCGGGTAATTGTTATGAATGCCCCACTGCTGTGTATTATGTGTATAATGTTGCCCCTCGAAATGGATTGAATTGAAATGGACTCTTGTCATGAACTGATTTTGACAATATGATTTAGTCTTGACAAATAAAGTTTTTCTTTTTAGAGCTTTAATATTCCAAAATGAAGGGTCATACATCAGTTTGTCAAAATCATTTCCTTCTGAAAAGAGAAAAGTTACTCCAACTTAAGGTGCAACAGTTTACAGTAATTGTACGGGCTTTGCTAAAGAGTAATATGTCCCATTTGCAAGCCAAACAAATTTAAAGGTTAAATCCCAACGGCATTTGAAGGACAATACTAATTTAGACTCTTCTCTCAATATGAAAGGGCTTGAAAGTAGCTTTTAGTGGGAAGATAACATCAATTGGTTGTCGAATCGACTTAAGTGATTGCAATCTACTAAGTAATAGTCTGATTTTCAGACCCTTCTACCGAATGATCGTATGTTTTGTGCTGCACAAAGATTCAATCAATTTAATTTTGGCCATTACAAGAAGTGGGTTATTGATGTAGACAAATGTTCATATACCTGTTACAGCTCATCTTATGTATGCAATTACCAAAGAAAAAATACGTCAGTCACTCACTCATTAGTGTCTGACAGTGAAATCTAGACGGTAAACGGGTTTTCTTGCATAATTTGTATACTAGGACACTGTTAATGTTTACATTTCACAGATAGGACATACATTACATATTCATAATTCCTCCAAAGTTCTACAGAATTTGATGTTGGCTGCAAAAGGGACATAGTATCTTTAAATGAGATCATATCGCCATTTTTTGAGTATTTGTTCCTTTATAGTGAAGTCGTGTGTTATCTTACCAAGGTGGCCTCTTTTTTAAGGTACAAGCACCTTGTCAAATCCGATGTCATTTTGAGTCTAAACGTGTTAAAAGTACATGTTGAAAGATTTGATATAAGGCATGTATGCAAAGGTGATTGGAAAAAATGGTCTTTAACCACCCAAAAAGTATAGCTTACATAAAAAAAACGTGCAGTTGATAGCAGAAGTTTAGTTCAATGTAAATAATGGTGATATTGAACTATCAAAATGGCGTGTGACGTCAAATGTGGGTCAACATGTTTGCGTTAGCGAATGAAAGCCTTTTGACATTTTTTTAGCATTTATTTTTCTTCCTTTCAACGGGAACAAAATGTGGTTGCCCTTACAAAAAAAATCTATGATATTCCTATGTTACGGCTCTATGGTGAATGGTATTTCTATGATATATTATATGGTAGAATATATTTATATGGTATACCACACAATTGCTGAATGGTGGAGTTCTATGGTCAATGGTATATGATTGATGCCGTCCTATGGTGTATGGTATTTCTATGATATATTATATGGTAGACTATATTTCTATGGTATTTCTGTTGAATGGTTTCCCTATGGTGGAGGATATTTCAGTGGTAGCTCTATGGTGGATGATGACTTTATGGTATATCAATGGTGGTTATGTGACTCTATGGTGGCTCTAAAGTGAATGGTAGATCTATGGTAGCTCTATGGTGGCTGTATGGTGTATGGTATTTCTACGGTATGTTATATGGTAGAATATATTTCTATGGTATTTCTATTGAATGGTATCCCTATGGTGGAGGATATTTCAGTGGTAGCTCTATGGTGGATGATGACTTTATGGTATATTTATGGTGGTTATGTGACTCTATGGTGGCTCTAAAGTGAATGGTAGATCTATGGTAGCTCTATGGAGGCTGTATGGTGTATGGTATTTCTACGGTATGTTATATGGTAGAATATATTTCTATGGTATTTCTGTTGAATGGTATCCCTATGGTGGAGGATATTTCAGTGGTAGTTCTATGGTGGATGATGACTTTATGGTATATTAATGGTGGTTAGTGACTCTATGGTGGCTCTAAAGTGAATGGTAGATCTATGGTGGCTCTATGGTGTATGGTATTTCTACGGTATGATGTATGGTAGAGTATATTATATGGTATTTCCGTTGAATGGTATATCCCTGTGGTGTAAGATATTTTAGCAGTAGCTCTATGGTGGATGATGACTTTATGATATATTACTAGTGGTTAGTGACTCTATGGTGGCTCTAACGTGGCACTTTTTTACATAAAAAGGGCCCCTTTACTTTAAAAAGTGCCCCAATTATTTTTTTAAAGTGCCCCTTCCCCTTTCCATCTCTGATAAGTGCCCTTTTTTTATACGTACCCCTTTTCCTTCGATAAGTTCCGGTTTTCCTTTGCAATAAGTGTCCATTTTCCATTCTCATAAGTGCCCTTTTTTCATCTCTAGTAAGTGCCCCTTTTCAGATACGAGTGCCCCTTTTCACTTTTGATAAGTGCCCCATTCACCTGATAATTTCCCTATTCAAATCTGAGAGGGGCCTTTCCCCTTTTAATAACTACCCCTTGTTTAACTTGGATAAGCGCACCTTATATTTTCACATGTGCCCCCTTTCCTTTCTAACAAGTGCCCCCATTTAAAAGAGAGCCCCTTCCTTTCATCATAAATGCCCCCTTTTCATCTATGAAAACAGTTACTTTTCATTCTCATAGTCCTTCTTCATTCTCATAGTCCCGTTCCATCTCTAGTAAATGACCCTATTAAATTCCGAGAGGTACTCGTTTTATTTTGACAAGTATCCCTTTTCCTCCTGATAAGTGCTCTTTTCATCTTCAATAACTGCCCCTTTTAGTTTGATACGTCCCCCCTTCCTAATAAATGCTCTTTTTCCTTCTTTTAAGTGCCCCATCCCCTTCCTATAATTACCCCTTTTCATCTCTCATAAGTGCCCCGTTTATCTTGACATGTGCCTCTTTTCTTTTTAATAATAGCCACTTCCCCCTTCTCATAAATCCCCCCTTCCACCTTGTATTAAATGCACCTATTAAAAACTGATCGGTGCCCCTTTTCGTACAACAAATGAACATTTCCTCTTATTATTAGTGCCCCTTTTTCATTCTCATAAGTGCCCCTTTTCTTTTCAGATAATTACCCTTTAACAATGATACGTGCCCCATTTTCACCTTCTGATAATTACCCGTTGTAATTTGACATGTGCTCCTTTTCTTTTCTAATAAGTGTCACCCTTTTCGATAAGTGTCCCCTTTTCCTCTCATCACGTGCTCCTAATTTCCAGCTACTAAGAGTAATATCACCCAAAGCACACTCGCATTTATAGATGTTATAATTATAGTACTTATCAAAGGTCTTTTCAGTCTTCTGTTATGATAATTTAATAAACCCATAAAGATTGGGTTTTTCTTCTTTATAATTGATGTAATTTTTCGCACTGCGACCTCACAAATCTTATTTATAAAGATTTAAAAAAAATTGAAATCATCCCTGATAATGTAATTACAATATAGGGGGTATATACAAATGCTTTTTTTTTTTTTTTATATATATTTTCGCTTTGAGATTTCCCTTTGTAGGTGCCCTATTTTTTTTCTCCAGAAAGTGCCCTTTTTTGTTGGTGCCCCCCCCCCCCCCACTTTGGAAGTCGCTGCCTCTGTTTGCACTCAATTAGTCTCAATCTATTAAAGAAATCATTAAATAAAAAATTCTAAACCAAATTGTAACAAGTAATGTATATGAGCAGAAAGTAGATAACAAGGGCTGTTTGCTGCCACCTTGTGCCCACGATTTGAACAACTCTTCTAGCCGTTGGTTTCCAATTTCTACTCACTAAAAATGCTTCGCAAAATTCCAAAATATGTGAGGAAGAGGAAGGTTTTCAAAGGAGATCGATACCAGGTATTACAAAAGAGTAACATGAATGCTGGAGAGGTGCCAGAAGAACTAACAGCTAATTCAGAGATCGAGGAAGCTTTCCATGAATAAGTGTTTGGACAGCCCTATTTTTGGCGCTGGTCCCACATGTGAAGATCCGCGTCATTAGTGGCCCACAACTTGCAGCTGCTTTGCAAAAGGCTCACGTGTGTCTGGAAGGTATGTACTTACTATCAAACAATATTTTTAGTTTGCAAACTGTAACTTTGAGATTGTATTGCATGCTCAAGGGGTGAATGGCTCAAAAAGCCAAATCAAATGATTAAGAATAGAGTAAAGGAGGGGGTAACCGACCATCACCAGTTTTCGGCCGATCCGTTGGATGCATGGTAAAATCCCTTTAAAATACATTGCATGACAGCATATCATATATCCCACACATACCATACCATGCCAGAGTCACTGAAGAACCACATTTGCAATGGAAAATATATCTTAAAATATCACATTTTAGCGATGTAATCGGCGGTCCCGCTCCCCGAATCTGACAAATTAAGTATCTTACGCGTGTAAGGTATATGGGTACCATAAAATGAGCTTTAATTCAAGTATTTTTCAGATTTAGAGTCCGATTTTGTGTGAGTCGCAAGCTCAAAAGTATCTCATCGCATGTTTTTAATCAATGCAGCCGGATACCGCAGCGCACACACGATATCTCTGTTCAGTTCAGTTCAGTTCATTTATTTCAATCATAAAACCATAACATAATATATATACAAAAGTAACATGAAACAATCATAATCTTATAATATTGGAATTAAGAAATTGGAGACTAAAAAGGAAGTTTGAAAAACTTGTAAGTAAAATAGTCCCCTGACATAAATAATAAATAACGAGATTACATGGTTGTATACGTTACGACAATAATAACAATATATAAATAATATACTACACATTATAGATACACACACACACACACACGCGCACACATGCATGGTACATTGCAAGAAAAAGAAAGAGTTAAGGGAAATAAGAAGAGACCAACTGTCTCTTCAATAGAACTTTAAAGGATGATATAGTTGTGCATAATGTTAGCTTATCAGTTAAATCATTCCAAATCCGGGGACCATTATGTCTAAAAGAGTAAAGCATTAACTGGGTAGAGACCTTTGGATAATGATATTTGATACAGGAACGAGTATTATACGAATGAACAGATTTATTAAGGATAAACATTTGACAAACTCTTTTAGGTACATAATTATTATAAACATTATACATCATAATAGCACTTTGAATTTTATGTATATCATAAATATTGAGTGTTCTAGACTCTATGTCTAATTCAGATTCCAATTTCTGATCACCGCGGAGGTAGTTTTCGGCACGGGAAGCTCTGGCTTGGGATACCTGCTACGGCCGCTAGGGCTATAGATCAGTGGGGAAACGCATGGCGCGCTTGCTTGCTTCCTATTGACTTTGTACATGCGGCCGAAAACTGCCTCGCTAGGCCGAAAACTACCTCCGAAACAGTGAAAATGGAAATGAATGTTGTCATGGCATTTCATGATTTTTTTTCAGGGATTCTTTCTTTGTTTAAATAATAAAAGTATTTGCTTAATGATTTGAACAAGAAATGATAATAAATAGGAAGTAAAGAGTCCAAAAAATAGGATTTTGTCTTAAGTGGCCGAAAAACCCCTCCTTTACTCTAGACTCTATGGTGAATTGAAGTGGGGGCATCGGAATGTATAAACATAAGGATGGGGTCTAAAGACTACTCCAGCAAAGCATAGAGAATAAGAGAGTCAATGCTATTGCGTATTGACCTTAAGCACTGCACTACGCGTTAATAGGTAGCATTTGCTCACATAAAGAGTCAATACACTCTCAATACACAAATGCACGCAATCATGCCGATGTGACTAATCGGCATGATTGTGTGACTTTTGTGTATTGACTATTTATGTCGATGTGGCTGATCGGCAAGTTTGACAGTAGACTTACAATTTGAATTTTTAAATTATTCTTTCTCATATTGGTACGTTAAAAAATTGTATTTTACTGCTATTTAGGTGTCATCAATTGTCCCTAAAGTACTGATTTTGAGTGAAATTAGTTGAGTTTTGGGCGCTAGTTCAGAAGCCTACCCAAAATTTGACCCGTAACTCCGGCGTGGATACCCAAAGTCAAATAAATGTTCAATAAATGTCCAAATAAAGATCATGAATTACACGATGTTATGTTCATTACCCGTTTCGTGTCAATTTTCTTGTTATTTTTGGAGAATTTTGTGGAAAAACATTGATATTAGTACACTTTTTCACAGGTTTCACGTCAAACTGCTGCACAATACAAGTGCATACCGATGGTGGGTTGCGGGCGGGCGCACGCCTGTGTGAAGTTATCTACCGTAATGAGGATCCGAGACCCACCATCGGTATGCACTTGTATTGTGCAGCGGTTTGTCGTGAAATCTGTGAAAATGTGTATTTGTGTAATATACTACATGTATGTCATAACTAGCACTTTGTTATTATTTGGGGATTGTGCTTTTCAAAATATTTTCCCTGTTCCATAAAGTGTTTTGGATATCTTTTACAGGGCATCTCATTCCTCTGGAGAATTTGTCAAAGAGGAATGGATTGAACTGCGCCATGGTCCTTGGTTGCTTCATTTGCAAGAAGGAGAGGACATTCTCTTCATCAGAAAAAGAATGCGAAGGACGTGGAAAGTCTGCAGAAATAAACCGCAGAGCTACTCTGGCAGCAACGGAGGTTGGTTTGGCACGGGATAGCTTTTGCGACTTGCTGACCATCCTCGGAACAGCCCCACTAGTCGAAGCCCCTAGCTACAACAGGCACATAGCCACTTTATCTTCCTTATCCCAAGAGGTTAGTCACCAGCCTTGTGTTTTCTTCATTACATTATCTAAGCTGTACGTACATTTAATCAAAACATATTTTTATTTCTTAGTTATTGTCGATAGACAGTATAATACATGTACATCAATATCCCTTCTTGTCAAATCAAGGGATGCAAATTAATCAAATCTAAATATTTGTAATAGGGTCTAATAAGTAAGGGGCCTGAGGGAACTTGAAATTTACTTGTTATTTATTACAAACTCTTTTTTTTGCAGACCAGTAAGGATCAGAAGAAGAAGGTGGCAGCATGCCTACGTCAAAGGGCCATGGACAAGGATCTGACCATCGGGGAAAATGATTATGTGGACGTGGCAGTGCCCTACCATGGAACATGGCATAGACGAGGTTACACATCGAATCATGGGGTGGGGGTAGTGATACCGATCGATACAGGGGAGATTGTTTGACACAGACGGTCTATCAAAATCATGTAAACAGTTTGAGTATAGAAAGAGTTGGGTCTTCAGTGTTCTCAGCCAGAGGGACCTTGATCGCCTTCAGAGACTCCAAAACTGAGTAGCAAGGCTTGTCTTTTCTGCTCCTCTCCGAACTCACATGCAACCTCTTTGACTTGAACTTCAGTGTACTTGTTTATACAATGTTTTAGAACATTTCTGTGCTGCAACTCAGTTCCTTAGTTTTTATTGTACATGTTTATATATTTTTAACTTGCCTTTCATTTTAGTCATGTTTACATACACACTATATATGACATTTTAGTTATTTAGAGGAACTAGGGTGATATATATGTGGATATTTATTACACCTTAAGTAGTAGAATAAGTCCAAGTAATATGTGTTGCAATTATGAACTTGCCTTTCATTTGAGTTTTTATTGTACATGTTTATACAATGGTTTAGAACAATCCTGTTCTGCAACTCAGTGCCTTAGTTTTTATTGTACATGTTTATATATTTTTAACTTGCCTTTCATTTTAGTCATGTTTACGTACACTGTATATGACATTTTAGTTATTTCTTTTTAACTTGCCGATTATTTAGAGGAACTAGGGTGATATATATGTGGGTATTTATTACATCTTAGTAGAATAAGTCCAAGTAATATGTGTTGCAATTACGAACTTGCCTTTCATTTTAGTTTGTAGTGTACATGTTTATGTGATATATTTTTTACTTGCCTTTTATTTTAGTTTTTAGCATATGTACATGCATACAACTTTTGATATAAACCAAATACATCCTGCCACTTTCATTCAATTAATTTTTTTAATAAGCGTCATGTTTGTATTGTAAGTTAACATTTAAGTTTAGATTTCTTAAAAATTCAATATATTATAGTCACCATTCTGTGTACTATAGAACACACTACAGCAACCATTCTGCTAACCATAGATCAAGACCCAAACTACCATTCTGAATATAATGCTATCAAAATGCTACAATTAAGCGTAACATTTTGTTGCATATTTTGAATGGTAGTGAATGGTAGATGAATGGTGGCTCTATGGTAAATGAATGGTGGCTCTATGGTAGATGAATGGTGGCTCTATGGTAGATGAATGGTGGCTCTATGGTATATGAATGGTGGCTCTATGGTAGATGAATGGTGGTTATATGGTAGATGAATGGTGGCTCTATGGTAGATGAATGGTGGCTCTATGGTAGATGAATGGTGGCTCTACGGTAGATGAATGGTGGCTCTATGGTAGATGAATGGTGGCTCTATGGTAGATGAATGGTGGCACTATGGTAGATGAATGGTGGCTCTATGGTAGATGAATGGTGGCTCTATGGTAGATGAATGGTGGCTCTATGGTAGATGAATGGTGGTTCTATGGTAGATGAATGGTGGCTCTATGGTAGATGAATGATGGCTCTATGGTAGATGAACGATGACTCTATGGTGGCTCTATGGTATATGAATGGTGGCTCTATGGTAGAATATGTAGGTGTGGCCTAATTTGAATAAATGAATAAATTTGTCCCAATTATTTTAATTAGTTCTATGGTAAATGAATGGTAGACCTGTGGTAGATTTGCTATGGTGTTTGTATGGTAATCTATGGTAGATTTGCTATGGTGTTTGTATGGTGTACCATAGAGATTTTTTTTTGTAAGGGTGGTCGTTGTGCGTTTGGGGTTTACAGTTCATGAAAATAAAGGTTTATTTTTAGGGTTTTGGTATTTTTTTTGTATTATCCTCTATTCATCTAATCTCCGGAATGCTTCGTGCAGGCCAAATAATTCACATCTGAAACATAACAACCTTGAACATGTTTACACAAGACGGAGCTATTCATTCCGAATCCAATCCGACTAATTCATGGCCATGCGGGGGTAATGTAATTAATTTTCAATGCTTGTTGTTGGTTTAGTGTCAGTCAAGTATAGAAGCATTACTCTTTGTATCGCATCTCTGCTATTCAATCATCTACCCGAGTTCACCTGAAAAAAATCTCAGCTTCCAAACTTTATTAAGGTGATCGATGGTATCTCGCCCCCAAGTTTTGATTGTTATTGTCTTTCTTTGTCTCTTTATCTTTTTTTTCTCTCTCTCTCCTTCTCTCTCTCTTTATCTTTCATTCAATCTACCTATCATGATTCGTTATATTATAAGATGCTGCTTGAGATTTGACATAATTGTATTTGTTTCTTTCTTTTTCCTAATCTTTGATGTTTAAGTGTCATTGCTATTAAAAGTTATTTACAAATTTGTATTATGAACTGTTTTTTGATTTCTTGTATATACATTGTCTAAATGCTTTAACAGACCTGCTGAAAAATAGCCTTATGGCTGATAGCGGGTGTTTTAACCGTGTTTAAAAAAATAAAACAAACACACAAAACAAGTCTCGGATCTGTCTCTTTGATGGGACTGGACTGTTAGAACTATTTACCTATGTCAGTCGTTAGACGTACGTACCAAATGCCAAAATTAATTCCACATCGCGTAGTACGTGTAATAGTGTACTGTATGGTTCAAAACCAAGTCAATGCGCTATTGTCCTTTTTAAGAAATTCATCCTCATTACCAAGTCCTTCGGAGAGGACTTAAAGCCGTAGGTTACCTTTGCACTTACTTACAAGAATACACAAGCTTTCTTAACAGTCGGGTTAAACAAGTAAACCAAACAACCTTCTACATCGTACTTTTTACAACAAAATGTTTTCTGATGTTATATTGAATTAATAAAGTATGTGATGAAAATATACAGTATTTCCTTTTCGTCCAGATTACTGGTCTTAAATAACACAGCCTGCGCATAAGTTTATTACCCACTTTCGGGTTGATTGGTCGGTAGCTTCGCCAAATCAACGTTCATCAAATCAACGTTCGTCTGATGTGGAAGCCCCGCCCAACGATGAGTGTTCGTTGAGTAAAGGTAGACTGCATAGGTTTTCATTATCAGTTTCAAGGCTGCATTCGTCGGGCTTGGACTTATGTTTTTTGCATCTCTTCCTTATTCTCAATTTTGTGACGAACTGGAAATTTTCATCAGCTTTACTAATATACAAGGTAAGACACCTAACCTGCTTGATAAACGTCGCCGTACGTTTAGAGTACAGCGGCCCTTTTTTATTTCAGTAAGTAAAGAGTATATCTGTCTATTGTGATATATGTTTTCCATAAGTCTTATCTAGTCAGGTTAGCCTTCTGGTGCAAGACAATTCTCCTTCAACAACCTCATCATATAAATACAAAAAGTGCAAGGTATACTATGTTTATGTAATAATATATAATAGTAAACCAACTCTTAAACAATCAGTTCATAATTCGATACTAAATTACCTTTATTTGATTTCATGACACAAGGTTTTGATGAATCTCGTTTATATACGTCCATTACCATATTCTGAACTCTAAAATAAACCACTGTTTGAGTGTAACCCCCCAATTAGCCCTTCAAACCTGCCTTTTATGAATCAGTCACCAGTGCAGTCTGGTTTAACATCGACTCTTAGTCAAAGTCGGGTTTTAACTTTCTACACCATTTAGACTGCACCTAGTTAAAGTTTAAGCCTGGTCTGACTTTTGTTCAAAAATTGTTGGCGATGGCGATAGTGAAAATCTGCTGGCACCAGATTTAGAGAGACCTAAATTAGCCTCATGAAGAGGAAAATTCGGCAGTGAATGAAGGGGGAGGGACATTTTTCTACATATAGTTTCAATTCAAATAACAGTGAAGTTTCACAAACTTCACATGTTCTTAAAGAGAGTTCGGAAATTAGATTTCATTTAAATGAAAATAATTCCTGATTTGTATGTGTCTTTTGGAATAAACAACGTTACACTGACTATTTCTTGTAATGCTAATGAAAAGGACTTTTGACGCACTAGAAACAAAAATTGGTTATCCAATGATTTACATGATTGATGAATACGCCTTTTCCACTGAAGTCTGCTCTTCCCGACATGTGTCCTTGGGAATGAGTAATCGATAAATCGTGCAATAATATCTGTTAAAATCTTTGCCAATCAGTATTACCATTTTCAAATAAATGTTGCATTAGAGTGAAACATACCAGAATCCTTGACTTCAAATTCATGTATTTAAATCAAACTCTTTCCCTAAACTATAAGTATGCATTTTTTTTTTGTATCTAGTAAAATCGAAGATGAGAGATTACTTGTTAAAAACCCATTTTTAGATATTACACTGATATATTTCTTGGTATTTTAAAATGTGTATTTCTGTATCCTAAGTTCTTGAACCGAACAAAAAGAAATGTTTCCCGTTTTACCTTGATGTAAAGAGAAGTGACTATCAAACTTGCAACTCTTAAGTCATTGAAACAAAAGCATTGAAATATTAGCATGTAAAGTGACTCACACACTCTGCCGTGTAGGCCTACCGTGTGCCACCGTGCGCAAAAATGTCTGCGGACGGTGGAGAACGGCAAGGGCACACAGTGGTTCGTTATCAAAGCGGGCAACACGTTAATAGGGCGTTGGCGCTTATTTACACCCGGTGGGACCCGGCGAAAGTTTTGGGCATGTTCAAAACTTTGGCCGGCTGGCACCGGCCGCAAGTAAGCGGCAAGAGGACGGTGTTGAACGGTATGAGGACGGTATGAATACGTTATGAAAACGGTCACACTGTATGAACACGTTCACAACACGCTCATAACCCGTTACATAACGGTGATGAAAAATGGAGAGCGGACTGACCGTTGCCGTTCAAATCGGGGTATTTATGGCAGTCGTGTCATGACGTCAGCAGTCCGGGGACTCGCTCACAGGACGCTCCGAGCGGTGAGGGGACGCTAAGTGACCGGTAGGTGGCTGCTACAAACCCGGTGCACACGTTCGAGACCCGGTATGGGCCCGGTATGGAAACGGCCAAAATTTTCAACAAAAGTCAATCTGGGCGGTGAAGATGGTAGAAGCACGTTCAACACCCGGTATGCGCCCGGTGAGAACGGTCAGAAGATGGCAACGAAACGGTGAAAATAATAATTTTATGAATTTTTTTTTGCGGCCGGGGACAAGTTCGCTCAAAACCCAACGTTCTGGACTCTGTTGTTTTTTTAATAGCGCGGCAGGTGGACGGTAGGCCTACACGGCAGAGTGTAAGAGCTCCATAAGAGACATGTTGATAATTGTTCACTGGAAGCCTTTCTTCAATCAATTTTGAAAGACACTATCGTCCGCATAGAGAAGTAAATTTGATGTAGAATCACACAAATAGGCATGTCCGTGATGTAGCTCATGCCACGAGTGTGGTGTAAAACAATCCACTAAGCATAAGTTAGAAGGCAGATGCTTATCACGCTTTCAAGTTGAATAAGCAATTAACATAGAATATCAACTCCGCTGTGTTTACTACACATCTGATCAGTTTGATTTATTTTGAGATTCAAGCTTCTTATTGACGTATCTTACACGATTAAGTTTTGTTAAGTAGTATGTTATTATATTCTATATGCATGTGTTGATGCATTTTTGTATTCAATTTTATATTTATTCTTGCATTAACTGTTTAAATTGTATTTAATTAGTTTTGTGTTTGCTTTAGTTATTATCAAGTTATTTGAATTATTTCAATAGGTTAATGGTAAACCTGTTCTATTGTGTTAGTTGCTTTTAAACTGTAACAAAATAACCAAAGGGCATTACCATGTACAAATTGCAACAAATGTGTCCACATAAGTTGTACTGATATCGGTATTAAATCGTATGATGATCCAGCCCAACATTTCTTTAATTGACAATGTTCAAAATGTATTTTAAGATACTTACTCTTTTCCTGATCTTAACTATGATTTCATAATTGATGTTCAAGGTGATACAAATGGCTGTAATCTCATACGTTTCATGGAAACAACAAATATGTCATGTATTGATTGTTTGAAAAGCAAAGGTCTTAAATTTGCACACTAAATATTCGTAGCCTTCTCCGTAATATAGATGAAATCAATCATTTTTTACAGAGTAATAAAAATCATATTCTAGCATTAAATGAAACTCTTTTGGATGAATCGGTTTTCGACAGTGAACTTGATATCGATCATTTTAAGCTTGTTCGTATAGATAGACACAGACACGGTGGTGGAGTGGCCGTGTATATTCATAGTTCGTTGTCTTTTGAAGTTATCAAACATGACATATCAAATTCCTTAAAAATTATAGCACTTCTGATTTTACCGAAATATTCAAATCCAATGATATATTTATTTGGTATAGACCGCAAAATAGCAATGTTCAATTATTTCAACAGTATGCACATTCATTATCAATCCTTGATAGTTTTAATTACTCTATTTATTGTTATCTGGGACACAAATTGTGATTTATAAAAATAACAGGGTCCTCTGATTTAAAAGGTCTGGATGAAACACATAACTTTTATCCACTGCAAGATATTAACAAAACATATTATACTAGGATTACAGCCAACTCAATGACACTCATCGATCATATGTTAACATACTCAACTGAGAAAATAAAAACAAACGGTGTTATACATGTTGGAATGAGTGATCATTCTTTAAGTTATTTAATATGAAAGTCGAAAAATAAAAACTCCTCCCGAGTAATTAATTATCAAAAATTATCTGGTATTAATACAGAATCTTATTAAGAAGATTTAGGTCATCAGCCATGGCATGAAATCCTTGATTGTACCTGTGTCAGTGAAGCAGTCAAAAAGTGATAAAGTTTTCTTATGGATGTTGTTATCACCATATGCCTATCAGAAGCAAGACAATTAGGAAAAAGAAATCCCCATGGATGAATTCAGATATTTTTAAATTGATCAGAGAAAGGGATAAATTAAAATAAAAAACTTGGAAAAATAAAGATGAGAAAAAGATGAAAGATTACAGAAAAATTAAGAAACAAAGTTATTTTTGAGATTAGGAAAGGAAAGAAGAAATATTACTCTAAACAATTATTAAAATTGAAAGTAAATGCTGAATGCACCTGGAAGGTGTTAAAATCTTTATCACCTTAAAATAATAGTGACACAAATATTTTCAAATCGATACCAAAAAAATTGTTCGAACAAAGTGAACATTTTAATGAATACTTTCCGAACGTTGGAATACTTTCAGCATCTAAAATTACAATCACACATAGATCTGTTTTTGATCAAGAGTGTCATAGAGTATTTGCATTTAATTTTGGAGTAATATCAGAACAAAATTTTTGAAAGAATTTAAACCATTGAAAATAAATCTTCATGTGGAATTGACGGAATCTCTGCACAGCTTTTAAAGTTGTCGACTCCTGTTATAATTCCATCTTTTACATATTAAAGAAAGCGAGTGGTGGAGATGACTGGAAAAGAGATAAAAAACAGTAGTTATGTACGAAAGAGTCATGAACTGCACAGGCTGACAGCAAGAAGTAAGACATTAAAGAGACTTTATTTTTAAAGGAAATAAACACTTAACTTGTATAATTATTAGGCTCTCATGCTTATAGAAAAGTGATCCATCATGGGAGGGGTACCATGATGCATTTTGACCTGGAATCGAAGTTGTATTGTTTGTTTTGTGTAAGCAAACAAAATCCCTCCAAAATATTTATGTACTTCATTTTTCTCTGCAGTGTTATCATCTTCGGAAGTATGAATAATTTTGTAACGAACAATGTTTTCATTTGTTATGAATAGTAAAGATATTACAATATTATCATTAAACTGCCGTGGACTTGGAGAACGTTGTAAAAGAAAGGATCTATTTAATTTTTTGAAAAAGAAAGATGCAAATATATATTGTCTACAAGACACTCATTTTGTTTTTGAATGGGAAGAAAAAATATTAAAAGAGTGGGATGGAAGAGTTTCTTTCCATATAAAGCATCTAATGCAAAAGGAGTTGCAATATTATTTGACAAAAACACAAATTTTGTTATAAAAAGAGTAAAGAGTGATATTGATGAAAACTATGTAGCCCTTAGTATCCAGTTTGGTTTTCTAGAATTTTCACTGATTGTATTATATGGGCCAAATAGTGACTTCCCAGAATTGTTTAGTTGTATAGAAAACATACTAGAGTATGATGGTCCTCACAAAATTATTTGTGGTGATTGGAACCTGGTACAGAGTATGGAGTTAGACACTTTTAATTACCTTCGACTTAGTAACAAAAAAGCAAGGGAAAAGGTACTTGAGATAAAAAAAAAAAAAAAAATGACTTTAATTTGGTTGATCCATGGCGTCAACTTCATCCTGATACAAAATCCTATACCTGGCGACAGCTTACACCATTGAAGCAAAGTAGGTTGGATTACTTTTTAATGTCTTCAGATATATTTTCCTTGGTTAGAAAATGTGAAATTGGTTTTGGCCATCGCACTGGTCATTCAGTGATCAGTTTAGACATTGTGTTAGATAAATGTCATAAGAGATTTACCTATTGGAAGTTTAATAACTCATTTTTAAAAAAAGTCTGAATTTGTTAATCTTATTAAGGCGAAGGTAAATAAAGTTTCCCTACAGTACCTTAATGTTGACTGTCTTGATGGTAAACAATTTGAACATGTTAGTAAAGAAGATCTGAAATGTAGAATTAATGACCAATTGTTTTTTGAAACTTTGTTCATGGAGTTGCGGGCAGTTACAATTATGTATGCAATTCGACAGAAAAAGATGGAAGAAAGTGTAGGAAAGGACCTTGAGACTGGGATAGTTAATTTAGAAAGATTGTTGAAACATAATACAAATACCAGAGCAAACTAGGAAAACAATAAACTATTAAGAGATGAATAGAAGCAATTCAGACATCAGAAGCTTGACATGGCAGCCAAAAGACTACGGCTTCAAACAATGCAATATGGGGAAAAAAACATCAAAATATTTGTTTAGATCTAGAAAAACAAAGGATAGTGAAAAAAACGTTTGTAAAATTGATTGACGACAATGGTACAGTGTTGCAACAAGAAGAGGATATCTTGAAAGAGGTTGGGTTATATTATGAACGTGTGTATAAATATCACAGTCTCACAGAAGAAGAGAGTATTTCCTTAGAGAGAGAAATTTCTCATAGTGAAATTGAATATGCATTAAAGAATATGAAAAATAATAAAGCTCCTGGTAAGGATGGATTTACTGTGGAATTTTTCAAAGTTTTCTTTGAAGAATTAGGCATTTATATGATGCGTAGTATGAATTGTGCTTACACTTCTGGAAAATTATTTATCTCGCAAAATATTGGTTTAATAACATTACTTCCTAAAGGTGACAAAGTGAGACACATCAAAAATTGGAGACCAATTTCTTTGTTGAATGTTGTTTATAAAATACTATCTAGCTGTATGGCTAATAGACTAAAAAAAAAGGGTATTACCTCGCATTATACATGCTAATCAAACACGTTTTATGTCTGGACGATTTATTGGTGAAAATATTAGAATTTTATATAACATTATTGCTTATACTGAGAGAGAAAATGTTCCTGGAATGATCTTGTTAGTTGATTTTTGAAAAAGCATTCGATACTGTTTCTCACCACTTTTTGTATAAAACACTTTCCCTTTTTAAGTTTGGTGGTTCTTTTATAAAGTGGATAAAGATAATGCATAGTGATGCATACTCTAGTGTTATGGTTAATGGGCAAATAACATCGAAATTTCTTGTAGGAAGGGGATGTAGGCAAGGGGATCCGAATTCTCCATACTTGTTTTTGTTGTACGCCGAAATTCTAGGGATGTTAATTCGAAATTAACACTCTGTGAAATGAATTTCTGTCGGTTCAAAGGAATTTAAGATCCTTCAGTTTGCAGATGACACAATATTGTTTCTTGATGGCACAGCTGCTAGTTTCTGTAATGCACTACATATTTTGGACCTATTTGGAAATTGTAGTGGGCTGAAGATCAATATCCAAAAAACAAACGCAATTTGGATTGGGGCTTCAAAATGTAATGAAGATATAGAATTAGAAGGAATACAAGTGAATTTTGTATATAATGATTTTTTTTTTCGTTATCTTGGTGCTGACTCTCATGTTGTTATTGACAAAATACCAGATTATAACTATGATAGAATTTTTGACAAAGTAAAACGCCAGATGATTTCTTGGATTAAAAGGAACATTAAGGTTCTTGGAAGAGTTACAGTTGCTAAATCATTACTGTTACCACAGTTTAATCATCTTTTTATGGCAATCCCAGATCCTTCAGCTAAGTTAATGAAAACCATAAAAGTTAAGTTCTTTAACTTTATATGGAACAATAAGCCAGATAAAATTAGTAGGAAACAGGTTGTTGGTACATATGAAGAAGGGGGACTTAAAATGACAGATATTGAGTTTTTTAACATGTCACTAAAGTTAACATGGCTTCGAAGAATGGTTTTAGGAACATCTAATGATGTTAGTCATTTAATGCAATCGTTTTTAACAAAACCATTTATAGTAGGGTTTGGTGATGAATATTTTTCGGCATTGTCTCATGAAGTTAAATCTTGGTATGAAAAAGGCATCAGATGTATAAATAATTTGATTGATGATAAGGGAAAACTTCTGACTCGTGAGCAATGTGAACAAAAATTCTGCTTGAAACTAAATTATTTGTCTTATTATTCGGTAACTCAAGCTATAAAGTGTCGATATCAAATGCATATTGAAAAATGTGAAAAAAAATGTAGTAGATCCTCTAATGCCGTCTCATATCAAAATATTAGTACATGACATAAAAGGTTGTCAATATATTTACAAAACTTTTCTCGGAAAAACAAACTGTGTTAACTCAATATGTCTGAAATGGGAACGACATTTAGATTATACCCCTGAATGTATAAGAATGCAGAAATATCATAGAATGATATTTCGTTTTACTCCAGATATTGGTTTAAGATATTTTCAGTTTAAGATAGTAAATAGGATTCTGTATTTGAACAAGTAACTGTATAAGATGAAAATAGTGAGTAACGATAAATGTTCGTTTTGTAAAAAAAGAGCTGGAAGATATTGTACATTTCTTTTACAATTGTAAAATCAGTAAATCAATCTGGAATGAAACGGTGAAATGGATAAATGAAGGTTCTCGATTACAGATAGAGTTTAATTTAGAAAATGTAATTTTTGGTTTTGAAGACAAAAGAAACGATGCTTTACATTGCATGGTGACTTTGATTAGGCATAAACTATTTGTTCAAAAGCTTAATAACAAAATTCCAAATTTTAGTTCCTTGAAGAAGAAAATTATTCAATATTATGAAGACGAGAGATATATCCATTCTATATCTGGTATGTATAACAATTTTTTTTACTAAATGGCAGGCACTTCAACATTTGTTTGTATGAACAACAAGGAGAACCACTACTAGATTGTGTTTATACTAACCAATTTAACACGGATAAAGTGATACCATTATTTAAATTAGGAAACGAAGACGATCCTTCTAATTTTAGACCCATATTCATTTTGCCATCCGTCTCAAAAATTCTGGAAAGACTAGTATGCAATCAACTGAAATTATATATGAAAGAAAACAATATACTACGCGCCGAGCAACCAGGTTTTCAGGCAAAAGCATTCGACTCTAACATCTTTATTGAAAGTCACCGATGATTGGTTGCAAGCATTGGATGAAGGCCTTTATATATTGGTGCTTTGTATTTCGATCTGAAAAAGGAGTTTGACACTGTGGACGTTCAACTACTTGTTAACAAACTGCAGTGGTTTCGCTGATTTTGGGCAACTAATTTGATCTAAAGGGGGCGCTAGAGCCCTAGAAGGGCC